AGATATCATACTTAGCAGAACAACTTTCTGTGTCAGAGCGCCTCACAAACTAATCTTGGTTGGACTTCAGGGTCTTCTGGGCCCCCGCTTGTACCAGGATTGAGTACCCGCCATGATTGACCTGTTCGGGTTGTGAATTGAAGGGAAATCCAAACGCCCTTCCGATAACTGATTCATTAGGTCCGTTTGGGGCGTCGAACAGGAACCTCGGGGCTGCTTCGCAGACGTTACTTACTGCGATAAGATTACGTCTGCGACGCAGGCTACCGTTAGGGACTTTAAGATCCAACGACGCGACGGCAACGAGAACGTCGCTTAAAAAGTGAATTTGAGTTCTTTCAGTCTCAATCGCAATCATTACCCTCTTACTTTGTCGAATGTAGGCGACCCTCTTGGAGTTGAATTCCTAGGGACCATAACCATGTTCAGAAAGAGATAAAATTTCGTCTGCTTGTTCAAAGTTGTTGTTTGCTCATAAAGCCTATTGTTTTTTCTACTTTCGCGTTGCCGTCCGCGTCGTTGGATCTTAAAGTCCCTATTATGGCTGACCCAGAAGACTGGCACCCAGTCCAGACATGCGACTCGGCTGAGGCCACCTTGAGCAGAGTGGAGTGCCCGATGACAATCACTCGACAACGACACATCACTCAGGGCAGCGCCTCGTGTTTCAAACTCGGCAAAACACTCCTGCTCGTTTTTTAAATAATGCATGAACTAAATTCCAGAGTAACTTACAAGGCTACTACTGCACCTCTGCTGTCACCAGTCCTCCATAATATTTCACTAATTGCTGATGTAAGAGCTTTGGTTCTTTCTCTTGAAGAAGGCTAAAGTTTCCTAAAATGGACATGAAATAGGATTTATTAAAAGATTAAAAAAAACTAGTTTTCATGATCTCCACGTCTGGACAGGAGCAGCAGAAAAAAAAGGACATGACTGAGTTATTGTCAGAGGTTGTTACTAGGAATGGAAATGACAGTGAAAACGAGGGAGAGAGTATTATCGCCATTCATTTTCTCCGTTTCTGATTGGCTCAAATCAAATGATTATTTACAATCTAAACTAAATCATCAAACCAGTAGACATTTTCCTAGTATTTAAAGATACCCTACTACCCTCAAAAAAGGAGTAAAGATCATAATTATACACTTGAATCTTGTGTGTGCGTATAACCCTCCCCACCCTTCTGTAGAAACACACTGTACTTTTTAGAGTCCCCCTTTTCCCCTCCAAACAGCAAATGCTTGAGGACAAACACCTGTACAGCAGCTAGCACTCCACAGGGTCCACCCTGAAAAAACAACAACAACAACAACAACATCGATAACCCCTAATATCATAATTAAAATTCTCATTTGGTGTTCCTATACGTTATCTAGTGGAGTAGTGAAGAGAAGTTGTTGAAGTATCAACTCATTTGATCCTATGTGATCATGTCCTTAATTCTTATCATACATCAGTGATACTCAAGGACAAATTTGAGACTAATTACTCTAGGGTTCCTTTAAAGGTTAACCGTCTTACCGTTAATTATATAATTAATTGATTTGTTTATTTATTTATGTCAAAATCTGAAGAGGTCCGGTGCTCCAAAGTTGCCTTTTTACAACCTGAAATCATATAATAGTTCCCAGACAAAAAATATTGGTCGCCAGGAACGTAAATGATAACTATTTCATGCAAATGTTATCTCACCAAAAACTCACTTATCAAAAACGCTACGGCTTGGTCGCATTACCGCCTAAAGCAGGTTACGTTGTGTGCGTTACGCTGCATTTTGAGTCGCAAAATTCTGTTTTCTACTCACCATGGCGACCAAAACGGTCGCAGCTTGGACCACTGGACTGTTCTATAATTCAAACAATTTCCTTTTTTTTTTCTCGAGAGATTCAGGCGAAATATTAGCATTAATTTGTCCTTTCCTTTAGTTGTACAATGCCGTATTCCAGTCCATATAAGTCACACAACGAAAAGCTTTGATTTCTCCATTCTGGTGTAAAGCTCGACTTGGCATTTCCAAATATAAGATTCTTCAAGCCCTAATGTGATCAGCACATGCATCAGTAAATAGGCGACTAGATACTCAGGATATTGCCTAAATCAAGTGAGCCAGCGTGATCAGGCGTTCTCTTTAGGAGTCGCTAGCTAAGATAATGACTAGGGAGGCGTAGCCTGTAATAGGCTAAGGTGAGTGTATTATAATGAGTCCTTGTCTTGATAAGATTGACTTCAAAATATAATTACAAAAAGGATGAAACGGCCTTTTTCATGCACAGCAACAACAATATTATAACAACAACAATTCATTCATTAACAACAGATAAAGCTTTGCAGTATTGTATACCCTGCAAATAGCTATTAAGCTAATCTAGGCGGGACAAAACATTACATTACACAAAGGCGATGTTAAATTACATATTACAAAAAGAAAAGGAATACAATAACATACAGAAAGAGTCACTGGAAGTTTCGCTAGTTAAATGTAAATTTCAAGTACCATTGCTGTTTCCAAAGTGATAGGTTTGTTTTGGACCTCAACTTGCGTAATTTTTTTTGGACCTAAAATATATGAGCAAAACTTAAAATACGCTTTGTTATAACAGCTTTTAATTATCCAAACTCTAAGTGCAGAATTACGTTAGTTATACATTTGGAGGAACCGTGGCAGAGAGGTTAGAGCCCTGGGCCCAGTTGTTCGAACGTTGGCGCTAACCCAGGGTTAAATTTTAACCAGGGTTCTTTTTCTTTTCATCAAAAGCACTCTCTCAGATGATTTTCTATATTTTTTTAGAGTATCCAATCATCAAATGGTAGACAAAGAGAATTAAACTGAATTTGCTTTTTACGCTCTCACATCTGAGTTCAAATTTCGCACTAACCCTGGGTTATCTTAACCCACCTTCGAACAACCCGACCCTGGAATTCCAAGTTCAAGCCCCGCCCCAAACGCTAGCGCTAGGTCCACATACGGAGCGAATTTTTTGGTTGTTTGTTTTTGTTTACGGGTCCATTTCTTGGCAGGAGATCTTAACGATTTATTTGTTTCTCTGTACAGTCAAAGCCCGTTAATACGGATACCGAGGGGGCCATAGAAAGTGTTCGTATAAAACGGCTTGAATTGAGAGGAAATGTAAGCAAACTGCTCGTAATAATAAGACGTCCGAATCAACCGATGAAAACGCCTGCACTGCAGGCTATTCTTTAGCCCTTGAAAAGTGTAAGAATGCAATATGCTTTAAACTAGTAATAGTTGACACTACAGCTGCCCCCGCCCTGTATATAGTATTCTTGCTCCTTGTGTAGCTCTTTGAAATACACCGATTCATAATGAAGATGTTGAATTCACACATATTCCAAACAAAAGGTGAGATAAATACAGGAAATAAACGCAAGGTTCCATGCACAGTTTCGGTTCGATTTACACAGCTTTGATCAAAACATTCTCAGTTTCGAGAATAGTTTAAATTCTAAAACATAAGAAAAGATTTAATTAGGAGTTTAATTTTTCGCTATTTCTATTTCACTTTTTACATTTAGTTCATTTCATTTGCCGGAAAGGAAGCCTTAGAAATTAAAAGGACGTTTGATCAATTCACGCTCGCGCATTCTAGTCTTATTTTAAACTTTATAGCGGAAGGACATCTGTGAGCAGGGAATAAGTCAGCACAGAATTTGATGGTCGGAGAATTTCTGTAATCGTCCATCGTTCAGCTAGTGATAAGCTAGCCGTTGAATCATTCACTCGTCTTGCTTGTTTTGAGCCGAGTCTTATTCCGGTCAAAGAGAGAGAAAAATTGTCTGGTAAGGTTCAGCTGAAGGTTTCCAATCAAAGATTTGTGAACTCGTGTCTGGCAAACTCACTTAGTGTTAAAATATACACTGTTCTACGCACCTTATAACTTCATCTGCGCTTAACGAGTGTCTTTTGATCTATAACGTTCTGAACAACTGCTCCACAGCATGTCACTGATAACCACGTATGTAACGCAAAAGAGTATCGAAGTATGACAGCTCAATTAATGTCACAAAATCTACCTATTGTAAGCTTTTTAATTTGTGTTTTACGTCATCCTAACCATTTCGTACTTGCGGGCGCAAACAATAGAAACGTCATCATTACCCCACCGATTCCTCGCGGCCCCTGTTCAAGCAAATCGAGATTTTTTCTATATTGACTGTATGACTGTATATTTCAACTGAAAAGAACTATAAATAAGAAATACGTATTTTAAAACTGCAAAAAGCAAGTATGCCACAAAACTTCACTTAATAAAAGACAAAACAGAAAGGCTAGACCCCTGTATCACCAGTGTAATTCGTGTTCATCACGTGCTTTGACGCCAGAACCAATGGCGTTTCAGCGAAAGGAAAACTGATGTAATACAAATAACAAGAAGATCGGTGTTGAAATATTAGACGGTGGAAACTCTTAGTTGTCGACCAGGGTTGTCAAACATGGGTTCCTCGCAATCTACCCATTAGGAGGAAAGTAACCGAACAGTGCAGTCCTCACGAAGACCCGACACTTCTGCAGGATTTATGGGGCGGACGAGACACACACAGGTATGAGCAAAGCAAGCAGACACTCGCTACTGACGCCAAAAAAAAAAAGAAAGAAGTGCAACATTCTTCACGCCCTTCGATCATTTCCGCATCACATTCAGTCGTCGCGGAGTACAACATTTTTTTTTTCCAGTTTTGTTAGCCGCTATCGGCTGGGATAAGCAGGGGATTGATGAAATGGCAGTGGATAAATCCTTTTCAGTCTCTGTATATCCTCAACTACGACGTGGGAATCTTAGTATTTGTCACACAGGGTTGATGTAATCGTTGCATTTCTGAACTTTCATTCATGCGCCGTTAGTCTGTTTTGTCCGTCAAAACTTAACTAGTCAAAAATTGATGCTCTTTCCTGGTATCCTAGCCAGGCAGGGCGACAGTTAATATCACATCCCTCTGAGAAAGAGAGAGAGACCTTGAAAATCTCGAATTTGGAAGACTAAATTGGAAAGGAAATGAATTTGATTTATTATGATGTTTTGTTGCTTAACTGAAAAACCAGCAAATGCAAAATGTATTTTCAACAGCAGCTGCTACGCTTTTTCTAGTCCGGTCATAAACCCCCTCGGATATGAGCCCCTCCGTCCTCGTTGAACCCCTTACGATGTTTAGAGCCGTGAGCAAAAAAGAGCTTACCTCGCCATTGTGTTCCCCAAATGTCTTGAACATCAGCAGTGCTGTAGGTTTCTTGAAGAAAGATGATATCATACCTCCGTTCATGTAGCCAGGTAAAAAGGGCCTTTCCAGTTCTTGTGGCGGATCAAATTCCTCGAACCGTAAGAGAACTGAAGTAATTTAAAATCCAAACATTCTTTCCTTAATGGGATCAGTGAAAAACTAAACTAGGCGCATACAAATGATTTTCCACCGCAGCGGTACACAAAATTGAAAAGAGGTAGGTAAACAGCACACGCAAACACACACACAAAAACATTACCCAACGAAGTTTTAAGAAAGGAATAAATAGCGGCGAGGTAATTATTACCTACAACCTGTAAGACGCTGCCACAGCTAGAGCTTGGGACAATCGTTTCAACTACTCCCAATTGTTGTAACCTACACACGCCCCTCCCGTTACAAAAATACCCTGATGAAAAGTTTTAACAAGTACATTAAAATAACCGGAGTCCAAAAACCTAGATTTGTCTATAAGGGAACAAATTGTCCATCGATAAATAATTTATCAGGTTATGGTTTGCTAAAGAAAGCAATCTTTCTTTCCTCTCTTACTTTGTTTAAGATTTTTCTTCTTTCGCTTATTTGTGTAGGAAAATCCGCGTAGACCTTAATGTCGATATCATCTGCCAGCTCGCGCACTCTTCTCAAAACAAGCTCGCGTTCCGGAAATCTCAAAAAACCAACAATCACCGGTCTAGTTTCTCCCGTCTCCTTCTTTCCTATTCTGTGAGCTCGCAGGAATTCAATATTTGCTGCATTTTCCATCTCCAATTCATCACTAAGGAATTTACGTACAACTTCATGCGCATTCTCAGCTCCATCAGCATAAATTAAGGTAATTCACGAAACTACTAAACAAATTGATTTGTCTGTTTGCAGAATTACGAAGTTACAATTCCAGTACAAGAAATCAATGGTCGAGCTATCGGGAGGGAAATCACACGACGATTCGGAAACGAAGGGCAGCATCGATATCTGAATGACGTGGATTTAACAACATTGAGATTTTTGAGAGCAGCAAACTCATTCGTTCATGATGCCTATGACGATGGTGCAGACATGCGAAATTGTGCCTTCATTCTTAGACAACCCAGAGAAGAGTTTGTCATCACTGCGGGAAATCGAGATTGGGAATATGATTTCTGCGAAGAGCAAAATGGCGTCATTTATGGCCGTTGTGTACGCAAGCCTTTTTTGCGTTACTTCTATGATAAAGCCAAGTCATGTGTTGTTCGTTTATTGTTATGGGGGGCTTCGAAGGCTTTGGGGGGAGGATCTATTTTCAAGGCTTTAACATCTGGTTAAGAAAAAAAAAACACGATTGATCAAACTACAAAGTTATACTGCTCTTGTTATATATTGATAAAGTATAGGAATAGCACAAAAACGAAAAGTGTCAGCAATTCTTCTATTATTATGATTAGTTAAGTGCTGATGAATCGTAGATGTTTTATTTGTTTAGCCGTGTGTAAAACTACCTGCAAACTTCCGGATTAAGGAACTTGATAATGTTAAAACTTATTCTGTATTCACCATTGGAACTATAGTTATTAATTTTTTTCTCTTAGTTCTTTGTATTTTGGTGCATTATGGATTAAAATACAATGCTTTTATATGCATTTCTAGAAATTCAGTCAAAAAACAAAACAAAACAAAACAAAAACTAAAAACAAAAAACAAAAAAAAAATTGCCCCGCCGTGTGGTCCCTAACGGAATAATATATACGCCATCAAATAAAGAAAAGAGAGAACAATATACAGACTGAATTGACTCATCCCAAACCCACAAAAATCGGACCGGTTTTAAACTTCCAGCCTCTGAACTGCGAGCGATTAAGTACAAATGACACTGGAGAGCTCCTTCTTTCCGATTCGTTTTCCGATGATGGTCATTTACATCGCATCTCAGTTCCAGGTCTTGTCATCATAAATACACATAACTGTGATTTATTACAATTTTTCCTCAATAATGACACGTCTTTGGTTTTTTTACTCCTTCTTTTGCCTTTACCTATTTCTACATCTTGGGTTTTCAGTAAAGGATACATATTACAGGTAAAATGGTACAAAAGGGCGTTCGTTTTTCCTTAACGCCTTCAAATAAACTAAATCCCGTCACAACTGTCGGCATATCCCCCTCTGAATATCATTGTGTACCCCACAGATCAAGTTAAAAAACAAAACAAAAAAGAAGAAGGAGGAGGAGAAGGGCGGCACCTGATACACTTATAAAAGCATAAAAAAGTCAGTAGAAGCCATTCA